CTGGAGCCTGTTTCCGATTCTGTGTCTCCCTCTCTCTCTGCACCTCCCCCGTTCATGCTCTGTCTCTCTCTGTCCCAAAAATAAATAAACGTTGAAAAAAAAAATTTTTTTTTTAAAAATAAAAAAAAAAATACACAGATAGATTAAAAGTAAAAGAATATGGAAATATACACCATGCTAACACTAGTCAAAAGAAAGCAGGAGTAGCTATATTAATTTCAGACAAGACAAGGAAAATTATCGAGGATAAAGAGGGACATTACATAATCATAAAAGGTCAATTCTCTGAGAAGGCATAAAAATTCTTAATATGTATTTGCTTAAAAATAGAGCATCAAAATAATGTGAGGCAAAAACTGATAGAACTGCAAGGAGAAAGAGGTGAATCCACAATTATAGCTGGAGACTGATACCCCTCTATTGGAAATGGATAGATCAAGCAGGCAGAAAATCAGTAAGGATATAGTTGAACTCAACAGCACCATCAACCTACTGTGTGTAATTGACATCTATAGAATATTCATCTGATAGTAGGAAATTACACATTCTTCTCAAACTCAAACAGAACATACAAGATTACATTATGGACCATAAAACACAATTTAGCACATTTAAAATAATAGATCTCATATAAAGTATGCTCTCATACTGCAAGGAATTAAATTAGAAAAGAGAACAGAAGCATAGCTGGAAAATAACAAAATATTTGAGATTAAACAACATACTTCCAAATAGTAGATGGATCAGAGAATTCTCAAGAAAAATTATAACATATTTGGAACGAAATAAAATGCAAATGCACATATCAAAATGAGTAGGATAAGACCAAAGCAATGCTTAGACAGCAATTGATAGCATCAAATGCATATATTAGAAGATTTATTTTATTTATTACTTTATTAAAAAATTTTTAATGTTTATTTTTGAGAGAGACACACACACAGAGCATGAATGGAGGAGGGGCAGAGTGAGAGGGGGACACAGAATCCCAAGCAGGCTCCAGGCTCTCAGGCATTGGCACAGAGCCAAATGCAGGGCTCAAACCCATGAACCATGAGGTCATGACCTGAACTGAAGTTGGACACTTAACCGACTGAGCCACCCAGGTGCCCCAGAAAAGAAGATTTAAAATCAATAATATAACCTGTTGCCTTAGGAAACTAGAAAAAGAAGTGGTATATCTGGGATCAGACACAAGCAGGGCCAAAGGACCCAAGTAAGCTGCCTGAGAAGGAAGCCCTCTGTGTCATCCGCCAAGTTGCACCACAGCCTCTCCCTCAGCTCCTACCTATGAGCACACAAGAAACAGGGTCCCTTACGACCAGCTGTTGGAAGAATTAAAGAGGTGAACTTGGTTCAAGGATATGTCAGCTTGGTATGATGAACTATGATGCAATACAACACTGCTCAAATGTGGATCAGAAAGACGGCAGTGACAGGGGAAATCCTCCCCAAGGGCAGAATTTCTTGTAGTGCACTTGGCCTTCCACTTTGTGCAGAAAGAGAAGTGGCCTGGGATTAGACTCTGGGGCACCGGGTGGCTCAGTCAGTTAAGCTCCCAACTTCAGCTCAGTTCATGATCTCATGTCTCATGTGGGGTTCAAGACCCACATCGGGCTCTGTGCTGACAGTTCAGAGCCTACAGCCCACTTCCAATTCTGTGTCTCTGTCTCTTTCTGCCCCTCCCCCACTCATACTCTGTCTCTCTCTCAAAAATAAACAAACATTAAAATAAAAATTTTTTAGAATATATGTGGACTCAAACAGTGGTGACCAACCAGTGGGCTGAATTTTTGGTGCCCTGGAAAAGGAAACATCAGGAATAAACCACTCACCTGAGAGTGCCTATCATAAAAGAGACACCAAACAACTAAGAAGACAGGATGACTTGGTCAGTTGACATCAGTCTGCCTCTGTCATTGGCTGCCTGAGTGCTGGTGCAACAGGCACATGAATGGAGCAGTCATTGTGGCAGAGATGGAAACCACTCACAAGCCTAGTAGTATAGCTGCTGATAAATGCAGAATATCACAGTCTTTCAAGATCAATTGGCCTCTTGGTGTCAAGTAGTCTAATTGGATCTCTTCTACTCTGGAAAGATCAGTGACTCATCTTGATTGGACCTGACACATATTTCAGTTATGAGTTTGCCTTTCCTCCTTGTAGAGCTCACGCATATCTGGGTATTTATAATACTGACATGGGATCCCACATATTACATTGGACCAAGGGACTGACTCTACAGGAAAGGAAGTACAGTGATGACCAGTGAGGATCAGTAGTGCAGGAGTAGCCATATAGCCACAGAATCTAGTGGTCTAGAATCTAGTGGTTGAAAGCTTCTACAAGCTTTCATTGTTGGTGGAGCAATGGAAAAGACTGTTGTAGATGCCTTTGAAGGCCCAGCTTGGGCATAATAACCAGTGAGGATGGGGCACCATCTTCCAAGATGCAGCATATGCTCTAAATAAATGACCCATTATATGGTGTGGTATCTTTTTTTTTTTTTTTTAATTTTTTTTTTCAACCTTTATTTATTTTTGGGACAGAGAGAGTCAGAGCATGAACGGGGGAGGGGCAGAGAGAGAGGGAGACACAGAATCGGAAACAGGCTCCAGGCTCTGAGACATCAGCCCAGAGCCTGACGCGGGGCTCGAACTCCCAGACCGCGAGATCGTGACCTGGCTGAAGTCGGACGCTTAACCGACTGCGCCACCCAGGCGCCCCCTGGTGTGGTATCTTTTAAGCAGCACCCAAGGATCCAATAAACCAAGGGTGGAAGTAGTTCTGACCTTAATTCCCTGTCATCTGCTTTATCTGCAGATCTGGAGCTCCCTTCCTGTGGGATGGATTGTGCTCTCAGGGCAACCCTTTAAGTACTGGGCACAGCCTCCACAGTTGACCCCATGGCATTTGGGCAGCCTGACTGCTGGGCTTCAGCCTAGGTTCCTGGTTTTCACTTCTATCCTCTGCTGGGACAGGAGCCAAGACTGAACCTAGTCCAGTTGGCTGAAGCTCTGACCCTTTCTCTTAGTTTCTGCCAACTTTCTTTGCTTCTGGTATTTCTACCTTGATCCACATGTAGATCCTTGGGCCAAGATTCTGGTTTAACATGATGCCAGGAACTCTTGCTTCCCAGAATACCACACTCCTCCCTTTGCCCTCCTCACATTAGGCCCTTCAGACTGATCCTGGCTCAAATTGCACCTGTATCCCATACTACTGCACTTGAATCTACACTAAGACCCTGAACCTGAACTGTTAGTATTTGCAGCCTGGGTGAGTTCCCCTGTTCTGTGCCAGCCACCTCAGCAAAATTCTTTCTCACAGTGAATGCCCACATATCCATCACTTCAGCTAGTACTACTGCTTTGACAAATTAGTCCCTCTTAATGAGAATTAAGCTCAGAGTAGTAGTTTCCCTGATTAGATCCATCACCCTCTGAAGGGTAAAATCTCTGACAAAGCAAATGAAAAATTTTCCAGAATTTCAGCATTTATCTTAATGGGACTTTGTATGAATATTTAATTTAGGTTTAGTTATAACTAGAATATCTTGCCTGTTTAATAGTTTTGTTGTCTACTATCAAAACATTAGTCTAGGCCTCCATCTTAGCAGATAGATTATATTATCTTCCCACAATTATATTATTTAAATTTTCTCTAGTTTCAGATTTATAGATATTCAAAAAGGTCGCTTATTTCAAAACAAGAAAGGCTTAATTTAGAACAGAGAACAAGTAGTATTAACACATTCAAAAGCCACAGTGAAATACTGTCTTAGGATTATAAAATAGAGAACTACTTACATGTCAAATGCTCTGGCATCAACTATATACCGGAGGGGGAAAATCAAGTATCAAGAACTAAGATGTTCTAAGAATTAGCACATAGACACTGGCTTGTAATAAAGCAGTGATAAAATGAAGGTTATAGTATAACTAAAATACTAGTTGATCTTTTCAAGGACAGTTAAGTAGCTCAAAATGTATTATAATTTTTTTTTAATTTCCTAAGCTAAGATCTTACATTTGTAAATATTTACTCAAAATCATTAGTTAGCTTAATCTCTTAAACAAATTATACTTTGCTTGGGCCAATATTAAAATTTATTCTGTAGCCCAGGTATACATCTGGTGCTAGATAATCCACAGTGATTTACATACAAATGAAGGATCATTTGTATGTGAGGAGAATAGTCAAAATTGCATAATTTACCACCACCCAAAGACAAGCTTGTACTTTAGAACAGTATCTTTTCTGAGGCCAATTAAGTTGCTGCACTGTTTTCCTTTAAACCAATATTCAGTTAAATGAAAAGTAATGGCTAGGAGGACCTACTGGCCAACTCTACCTCATCATGCTAGAAGAATGACTTGAATTTAAGAAATAATATGTGAAGCAAGATAATATAAGACCATCAAGGAAATGACAAGCAAATTGCATGGCTGTTTATCCCCAAGAAGCCAGTCAGCCTGCCTTCCGTTCAATGGTTGTTACCAATGCAGGGGAAAAGGTGAGCAAGAGGACTGAAGCATCAGGGTTCTTTAAAGCACTTCAGGGGCGCCTGGGTGGCGCAGTCGGTTAAGCGTCCGACTTCAGCCAGGTCACGATCTCGCGGTCCGTGAGTTCGAGCCCCGCGTCAGGCTCTGGGCTGATGGCTCAGAGCCTGGAGCCTGCTTCCGATTCTGTGACTCCCTCTCTCTCTGCCCCTCCCCCCTTCATGCTCTGTCTCTCTCTGTCCCAAAAATAAATAAACGTTGAAAAAAAAAAATTTAAAGCACTTCAGGTCTGCTTTTGAGAATTAAAAACTAAAACTCACATGAAAAGCATCTTTAAAATTGAATAATTGAGCCAGAGATTTGGAAATAGAAGTATATAGACAAATTGGGGTTGAAGATAGCGCTGTCCTCTAACTCAAGGTTTCGCAAAACGGAAGAATGCAGGGAACTCAATGAGCCACTCAATGTCTCTAACTATGCTTGCGGGAGAAACCCACTTTAATATAGGTTGGTCTTCTTCATGATCCGAAGAAACTCTTCCTCGTTCACTTCGCCATCTCCATCCCGATCGGCTTCGTCTATCATTTCCTGCAGCTCCTCGTCGGTGAGGTTTTCCCCTAACTCGTTGGCCACGCGCTTTAGGTTTTTGAAAGAGATCTTCCCAGTTTCATCGTCATCAAAGAGCCTGAAAGCCTTCAGGATTTCTTCTTTGGTGTCTTTCTCGGCCATCTTCTGAGTCATCACGGCCAAAAAGTCATTGAAACTGATTTTCCCTGTGCCTTCCTTGTCCACTTCGGAGATCATCTTCTTCATCTCCTCCTTCCTGGGCTCAAAGCCCAGTGCTCTCATGGCCACCTTCAGCTCCTTCACATCGATGGTCCCACTTCCGTCAGCATCGAAGAGGTCAAATGCTTCACGAACTTCTTGCTTCTGATCTTCAGTGAGTTCAGGCTTAGGACCCACTTTTCTTTTCTGGCTGGTAGAGGCCACATTTGGCTTCTTAAAGCTGGAAGCCATCCTCCTGTGACGGTTGTTACCTTTAACGGTGCCACCGCAGAATCACCGCGCTTGCGCAGGGGTGACTCTACCCAGAGCGCAGGCGCAGGGCCTCTCCCCACCTCTTTCCCAAGTTTACCCTTGTGTTCTCCCAGTGAGACCTGGGTGCCTAAGCCTGCCACGTCTGTGAAATCTTACTGACTTTATAAACAGCTCCTTCAGTTATCACCTTGTTTCAGTGAGCTGAGTCTTGGGCTGGCAAGAAGTGCCTGTAGGCACATTGTCTTCCATAATGCACACCCTCCTGCCCAGGCCATATGTCAGCATCCAGAGGACCAGGTTTATAGGGTTATTTGGAAGTCCTTCCTCTCTCCTTTTCCATACAACATAAAACAAACAAGCAAGCAAGCAAGCAAAAAAAAAAAAAAAGCCTTCTTGGAATTAAAAAGCCAAACCCAAACAAAAACCCCCTCAGTCTGAGGTTACCTAAGGCTAAATTTAGTATAATCAAGAGAGAGCTTGATTCCTTGGCATTAAATGTGGGGAAGAAGGAGAGAGAATATTAAGTCACACCATGTGTTCAACTTGACATAAATGGAAAACAGATAAAATGGAAAAAGTTATGTATAAAATTTGTAGAAGTTTGTCTCCTGACATTACACTCAACAATAATAAAACTTCACTAGCTTATTCAGCATACACTGAAATATGAAATGTAATATCCAAACGTATGATTTACTTTCAGCATTTCAATTTTACATGTGCTGTGTAATTGCACTTGAATAACAGTCTTAATTTCATTCACTCCACTTTTCATTTGGAGGGGGTTTGAAATACTACTTTTTGGTATTTTTTAAGAACTCTAGCAGCAAATTTGCTCTTACTGTTTATCATCTAGTCCGAGCAATGCTGAAACCCCCACTCTGACTTTCCTGCTTTGGCAGTGAGAACAAGAGTGTATAATGCAGTACACGTTGGAACTAAAAATCGCCTCCTGAGAACAAAGGGGCAAGAGAAAAATGGGAGCATTTTAAGTGAAAACAAAGAAAAGGGTCATCAAGTAAGCCCATAAAAGAATTGCCTTTAGAATTGCTGTATATTTCTTTAAATGTTTTCTTAATCTGACATTTTTTTAGTATTCTTTCCCCCTCGAATCTTAACTTATTACTACTTGATCAGTTACAAAAAGAGAACTTTCAAAAGTTTTCATTGAAGGTTTTGTAACCCCAGCATCTAAAACAATGCTTGACCCATAGTGGGTAGATTAACAAATAATTTGTTGAATAACAGAATGAGAGTTCATATTGGTTTTAAAATACTTTTAGGGGCGGGGCGCCTGGGTGGCTCAGTCGGTTAAGCAACCGACTTCGGCTCAGGTCATGATCTCCCGGTTTGTGGGTTCAAGCCCTGTGTTGGGCTCTGTGCTGACAGCTTGGAGCCTGGAGCGTGCTTTCGATTCTGTGTCTCCTTCTCTCTCTGCCCCTTCCCCACTTGTGTTCTGTCCCTCTCTATCAAAAATAAATAAACGTAAAAAAAAATTTTTTTTAATACTTCTAAGGGCACATGGGAAGCTCAGTCATTAAGCGTCTGACTTGGGCCTCGGGTCATGGTCTCACAGTTCATGAGTTCGAGCCCCTGCTTTGGATCCTCTGTCTCCCTGCCCCTCACCCCATTTCGAAAATAAATAAACATTAAAAACAAAATAAAATACTTCTGAATCATCCAAATAAAACAAACAAGCTCCCCAAAGGATTATGCTGGGAGTGTTTTATAAATTCAGTTTTTTTAAGTTAGTGATCAGATGTTATTTACGTAACATGTGTATTAGCCAAATTGTACTACCTGTGCCAGTTGATATGTGACATGATGGACAGAGGGCCTTACCACAGGGTTTTTAAAGGTCAAGGAAACTTACCTGCAACATCTCCTACCCATTGCCTCCCAGCAGTTGACACAGTGTCAGCCCAAAGTAGACTTTGGCCAGTAGACACTGCCATTGCCCATCTTCCAACACTGTAAATCCTCCTGCTTTTTTAACTAGATCAAAAAGCCCGGGATCTTATCCCAACCCTGTGCCTTATTATCTCTGTGACTTGAGAAAGTCACTTAACCTCCCAAACTCAGTTGAGACATCTACAAAGTAGACATAATAGTGTAGCTTTCTAATAGGGCTCCTGTGCATGTTCAGTGAGCTACTCCAGGAACGGTTCCCTAGTGAGGCCAAAGAGTGCTGGGTAATTGTTAGTTGAATCTGAAATTTTCCTAGACATTGTGCATTTCTTTTGACACCCACTCCTCTGCCCAAATTCAAGCCAGGCTATGATGTGTTGGGAAAAACTGAAGGATAGAAGCTGCCTTATATAGAGCTACATTTGGGCCAAGCTGAGCTCAAAGCAAAACGGTTGTCATAGTTTCCAGATGTATGCAATCAGCAGTCACAACTCGGGGCCACCAAGAGCACCTTTCATCGAAAACAGTGCCCCCAGCCAGAGTCAGCTGTTGGTGAGGAGTTACTTTATGTTCGTAATCTGTAATCTGATTTTAAAAAGGGAAGAGAAACTTACATGGATTGTGTGCCTAGTATTGGGCTTGCTCCTTGCATTTGGTCTCATTAAATCCTTGCCGTCATTTCCCCATTTTGCAGATGAAGAAAAATGAGACCCAAGAGAGGTCGGTAACATATCCAATGGCACATAGCCAATAAATGGCGGTTCTGGGATTTAAACCTTGGCCCGTCTGAGTCCAAGGCTGAGGCTTTGTTCACCATAGCATCTGCCTTCTCTAAAGATTGAAATTATTACCAAGATGTAGTTTCACTGGGAAGATATGATTCTGACTTTCTTCCTTAAATGTAACAATAATTAAGCATCTTGCCTAGAAAGATTTAACAGGATTTTGTAGGATCTCAGACAGGGTCCCTTTCTAGGGCAAGCCAGTGAGAAAAAGAGCAATATGCTTGGCATTTACATTTGTTCTTCAATTCTGCCTCATTCCATTCCCTGTTTTCAGCTCCTGGTACAAGTTAGTGAGAAGCAGTCTGGGCCAAGTGCTTTCAGTTGACGTTAGCAAGAGTCTATCTAGTGCTTATGAAAATCAACTTCGTTGCTTTAGAGTCACTTTTTTTTTAAGTTCTAATAAGACTGACATAAAGTAAATGAGATGTCCAGAAAAGCAATGGATATGAGTGGTTTGGTTTTGTTTTGCACTTAAAACTTTTGTGCCCTAATGTCCTAGGTAATATGCTAAATCAGTTGTTGATTTTCTGAGAGGGGGAAAGGAGATGCTTGTTTAAATTTGGTCATGGAAGCTTAATGGCTGGAAGGGGGAAAAAAAGAGGTGCTGGAATTCCACAACGGGGTCTGGAGTCAGTCAAGACCAAGAGAAAGGACCCATGCAGCTTGCTTATTCTAATTATTCGGTTTTCCATTTGACCTGCATGGCATGAAAAAGGTGAGGCTCAGGAGTCTTTTAAAATTTAAGTTGCACTCAGCAAATTCAGCAAATTCCAGGTGCCACCCAAGGCAGAAAACATGCATAATAAAGTTTCTTTATTGCTGCCTGTTTACTTTCAACAAATGCAGAACAGAGAAAATGCAAATGTTTGACACTTGTGCATAAGCAGGACAACTGTGCCAGCGTGGTGGATGGGTGATTCCCAAACCAACAATAACAGAACTACGCTATTTATTCTTGAATGCGTGGAGCCATTTACAAGAAATGGCCTCAGCAGTAAGAGTTTTACAATCCCGGTGGTCTTTGAATGAGACTATGAAGTCCAGTCCAGTGACTCAACCCAAGCCTTTTTGGCAAGCCCAGGAATAGACTTCAGTGTCCAGCCAAAGGCTACATAATTTCTCATTTCATGAACCCCAGAAATAAAGAAATACTCCTCTCAGATACAAAATCAGACTGTGTTTTAGAAAAGAATTTACCAGAATCTCACACCGCTTATCAAACTTGCATCCAAATACTCCTAATAGCAACGGAGATATAAAGCACTCCTTTGGGAACCAGGGGAACATTCCAAAGAAGTCTTCACCAAGCATGAAATGTCTTTATAATCCTGTGTTTTATTTAAAAAAAAATTGCTTTCTGTTTCATAGCATATTTGCCAGTTCTGTTACAGTTTTAAATGATTGACCATCAAGCAAATTTGATTCCCTTGCAGAAAATGTACTGTGCTTATTTTGTGACTTTAAGTACACCCCAAGGATGTGACCAGGGGCTAGGGAACCTTATGTGTTTTAGCAAACTCAGATGTAGGATATAATGTAGAGCTTGAGGTGGAAAAAATAAATGTTTCCCTTTCCCTCCCAACCAAGATCCACTCCACTTATACATCATTTGGATTTGGGAGTTAAAATAGAAGGAGGAGGAAGGAAAAGTGTGAAGAGGAGAGGAAGGAAGATAAATGAATGTCCAGAGCACTTTGAACTTGCAAGGTGGAGTGAAATTAAATGCAACCAACAAAAGAATCGTTGTCTTCTCAGAGTCCGGATCGGTCCAAATTAAGCACTTCTTTGATGGAAACAAACTGAGAAAAGATACAATTTGCGTTGATATGAACTCAAAGCACAACCTCTCGGGATTTATGATTCAGGAGTTGTACTATCCTGTCGTCTGCAGAGGGCCCACAAGTGCAGGCATGCAACCAAAAATGCAGAACCAAGGGGTCTGGAAGTGGCTTGCTTGGATTTTTAAAATACCTCCTAGACTAAGCTATTGATTTACCCTTTGATCCACCTTCTTCTATTCTCCAAGGCCCCTGAGACATCAGCATCTAAACTGGCTCTGAGGCTGAAAATTGAGGAGAGTTTTCTGCTTACCAGGGATGGAAAGGTCAAAAGCCCACAGGGGTGTGAGTAACACCAGATGAGCCAAGTGGGGCTGCCTGTTCGGGGTGTATTTAGGGATTAGTGGTGACCTGGAGAGTTTGTGGCCTTTAAAAAGACATTGAAATTCAAATTTAAAAACAGAACAAACAAAATAACTGCACAGGCCCAAGAAAACAGGTCTTGTGG